CCCTAAGGATCCAAAGGTATCCTTATTTAGGGTTCTTTGCGAAAGTTAGATTTGGAGCAATATAGTTTCATAAGACCATTCTGGGGAATGTTGTAAGGAAGCCATGATTATATGGGTGTGTCCTGGATGATTGATCAAGGGGTACTGGAGTGGGGGGCTGTGAACAAACGAGCCAATCTTTTGCTCATGCTGCTCGCAGATACCGCTTTCTCGAATTTGCCGATACTTGCCGATCGAATTTGAAACGCCTATGCTCAGCATCGAATGCTACAGAGTGGAGTAAAACCTTCGCAGGAACGAAAACTCCAAGCTTCGCCGATGGCACATCCGAGCGACACCTGACCCAGGTTAAACAAGCACAAGTAACATATATGAATTGGATGGAATGCACGATCTTGTTATTGATCAAGCTTGCCTTTAACCGTCCCCATGAAGGATTCATCACGAAATGTGTGGCAATACTTCGGGTTGTGGCCTCACATTGCACCCACAACATGCAGTACATAACTCGATGATCACATGCGCGTCGTATGTGCTGTCCAGAAACCATCGAGCAGTGCCATTTGGGATATTTCTTGCCATCCCTCAGATCACATGTGCATAGGAAACATGCGCATGCTTGCATTTTAAATGCAGTCGTGGTGCATGAAGCTTGGGTCGTAGTACCCACAATCGCTCATCCGAGTCCGCGGCCATCCTTGACAAATTCGCATACGAGACACAGCAGTAATCCTTAGCTGATCGTGGATCGGAGGAATCTGCAATTTGGCAGGTATATAGCACCAAGCAGCGCATGCCTCCACCAAGCTTGCACGCTGGTCCATACTCAGGAAGCGGGGATACTTCTCCATCCGATTGAAGAATTCTGCAAGCCAGTACCTTAATTCAAATAACTAGCGCTAGCTAGTAATCTAGGCGCCCGGCCCCCTATAGAACCCGAAAACGTAGAAATTGCACACCAAGACTCAGACACTTCAGCATTTCATCAAATCGGGGTGCGCCCTGCTTTGCGGGATAGAGCTCACATAGCTTGAAGCTCATCCAAGCCGTGACCACTCGAGCCTAAGTTCGAATATTCCACATGCACCATGAATCGTAAAATCAGCAGTACTAGATATACATGTACATGCATGCAAGTCACATTGTGGCCCTTGCAAGCTAACTCCGCATAGCCACTCATCACATCACGGAGGCTCTTCGAGCAGAACTCGGGCTGGGAGTGCCTGGCAGGTATCGGTAGCACACATTTAAAGGCCATCGGCCCCCCAAAAAAACAGCTAAGTTCATATCGAGTCTCTCGATCTTCATTCGTTTCGCCCAGGTCGTGAATTCCGCATAGGCGACGGCCAACCGAGCATTCACCGTTTGTTTGGCCGGAGTTCTCGGAGGGGCTTGCCAAACATCCTGTTTCAGAGATCAATTATAAGCGATCATATGTTTTAAATCGAATCGAATCGAACCTCCTCCTTCAGAAGCTCCAGCATTGCTGAAGCAGTGGCCCAGCAGCAAAGTCCGAGGTTCAAGGTGTGGAGGGTGCACCATTTTAGGAAGTTATGGTCAAATCCACGAACTTTCAGCAAGCTACCTCATGATCATGGCCATATATGCATTTTGGGGCACATCAAGAAATTGAGCAACCGTAATGCCGTGTTGCAGCGATCGCCTTGTCCATTCGCTTTGCACAGCTCCTCGAACGATCCCAACATTCGGCGTTGACATAGAGGCTGTCGGGAAGGAAACACCAGGTAGGTATTGTCGTGGGCCATGCAATGATGGCATATCCATGCACTATTCCAACCTGATGATAGATTGAATAGTTCCTGTCAGGAGGATCAAGTGAATTTAGAACTTATATGTACACCGGC